AGTTACAGATTGGTATGTCAGCATCAATTTTATTGTATAAAGCAGATAGAAGGACAGGTAAATTATCCTGTATTGCTATGTGTATAACATATATTATCACCTTATTCTATTTAATTTCCGAAATTTTATATTGTGTACTTTGTTTTACATAAAAATAAAAATAGTTTTATTCCAACTAAAGGGCCCATGGTGTGAAAAGTATGTTTTTTTTTATAATTGAGAGACACAAATAATTTTGTCGAGCATATACTGTATAATTATGGATATAATCAACTTATTTTATGATCTTAAGCCACTTCCAGACTAGAGTCACAAGGGTTTATTCCTTGAATGCAAACATCCTTTGATCTACCGACAATTTACCTGTAAAATAATGTTGGCGTTCGAGGAATAGGTGCAAGTACATATCAAAACAAAAGTGCATGCTTATCAAAACAATCATACTTATTAAACAGATAGGTAAATTACAAGTACCTAAATCTAATTCATGTTTGTCAAGTTGTTGAAAATCATTTTTTGCTGTTACTGCTTGAACAAATATGGATTCTCTTAAAATGAAACTTTGAAAAGTTTTGCATCACAAAGTCAACATGTGCATATTGTCAGGAATTCCATTTGCTCAAATTCTACAATAGCCTCTTTGGTCTTTGAAGTTTTTTTCCATTATTTCTATAGTTGCGAGTGCTGTAATATCCTCCCATATTACTTGATGGAATTTCTTGAAACTTTGTATCACGTGTTAGATTACTGTGTTTTTATTTTGTTCAGTTTGTTCCGGATATTTTTTTTTTTTTGTGGTAATATTACTACACCCTTTATTTTTTTATTGTAAGTGATTCATAAAATAATAATGTTTATGTGTTTATTATGTTCGCAACTCATCGGAATTCTTGTTTCCCTATTTTATGGATTTTCTTGAAACTTTGTAAAGTTTCCAGCTTGGAAGTTATCAAATTTACTTAATTAGTTCTGATGATTTTTAAAGTTTAATTACTTGTTCAATTGAAATTTTCATATAGTTCATATTAAAAAAACTCTGCTATCCTTTTTATACGACCGCAAAAATTAAAAATTTTTGGTCGTATATTGGTATGACGTTGGCGTCGTCGTCGTCGTCGTCGTCGTCGTCGTTGTCGTCGTCGTCCGGCGTCGTCCGAAGACACATTGGTTTTCGCACTCTAACTTTAGTTTAAGTGAATGGATCTCTATGAAATTTTACCATAAGGTTCAATACCACAAAAGGAAGGTTGGGATTGATTTTGGGGGTTATGGTACCAACAGTTAAGGAATTAGGGGCCAAAAAGAGGCCAAAAATAAGCATTTTTGTAACTTCCAGACAATAACTTGTGTGTAAGTGTATGGATCTCTCTGACATTGTACCACAAGGTTCCATATCACAAAGGGAAGGCTGTAATTGATTTTGGGGGTAATTGCCTCAAAATTTTAGGAATTAGGGGCCAAAAAAGGGGCAAAAAACAAGCATTTTTCTAGTTTCATGACATAACTTGTGTGTAAGTGTTTGGATATTTCTGAAATTGTACTACAAGGTTCCATATCACAAAGGGAAAGCTGGAATTCAGTTTGGGGGTAATTGCCCGAAATGTTTAGGAATTGGGGGCCAAAAAGGGGCCGAAAATAATCATTTTTCTAGTTTCCAGACAATAACTTGTGTTCAAGTGTATGGATCTCTCTGAAATTGTACTGAAAGGTACCATACCACAAAGGGAAGGCTGGGATTGAGTTTGGGGGTGATGAATCATAAGGGGGTTCAAAAAATTTGGGGGGGGGGGGTTTCTTTTTTTTTTCTTTTTTTCCTTTTTTTTTTCTTTTAAAATTTTCCATTTTAAGTTGGTTATTTCTGATTTATATTTTAAAGCAAATAAAAATGATATGGTAGGAGATACACATCAAACAGGATGTGTAAATTATTATATAATAAGTATTGTGCAATAGCAAGAAATTTTTAATTGCACAGTATTGCACAATAGCAAGAAATCTTCAATTGCACAGTATTGCGCAATAGCAAGAAATCTTCAATTGTACAGTATTGCGCAATAGCAAGAAATATTCAATTGCACAGTATTGTGCAAAAGAAGATACTTCGTATAAATTGCTTATTTCTTGATCAATTTCAATGGGGTTTTATTCTTGAATTCTAGGGGTTCTTTAATATGCTGAATCTAACCGTGTATTAAGTTTTTGGATTTTGGGCCCCGTTTTTAAATTGGTCCACATTGAGGTCCAAAGGGTCCAAAATTTAACTTTGTTTGATTTCATCAAAAATTGAATTATTGGGGTTCTTTGATATGCCGAATCTAACCGTGTATTTAGATTCTTAATTTTTGGTTCCGTTTTCAAATTGGTCTACATTAAGGTCCAAAGGGTCCAAAATTAAACTTAGTTTGATTTTAACAAAAATTGAATTTTTAGGGTTCTTTGATATGCTGAATCTAAACATGTATTTAGATTTTTGATTATGGGCCCAGTTTTCAAGTTGGTCCAAATCGGGGTCCAAAATTAAACTTTGTTTGATTTCAACAAAAATTGAATATATGGGGTTCTTTGATATGCTGAATCTAACCATGTATTTAGATTTTTGATTTTTGGGCCCCGTTATCAACTTTGTCCACATTGAGGTCAAAAGGGTCCAAAATTAAACTTTGTTTGATTTCATCAAAAATTGAATTCTTGGGGTTCTTTGATATGCTAAATCTAACCATGTATTTAGTTTTTGGATATTGGACCATAATAGGTGAATGTCCAATTTAAAATTTTTTGTGTCAGAAACCTATGCTGTGTCAAATATTTAATCACAATCCAAATTCAGAGCTGTATCAAGCTTGAATGTTGTGTCCATACTTGCCCCAACTGTTCAGGGTTCGACCTCTGCGGTCGTATCAAGCTGCGCCCTGCGGAGCATTTTATTTTAGTTTGATATAATTGTATTTAACTAAAATGTCTTATGTTAATAAATATTTCCATTCTCAAAAAGTAATAAAAATGTTTTCATTTTCTTTATTTCTTTAAAATTCATAATAATTTTAACCCTAATATCTACTTTTTTTTTTATCAAAAAGTGATAAAATGTTGCAATTTTATCAAGTTCACTAATTATTTTTAACAGTTAAATACTTATAAAAACACCTATTGTTATTATATATACATCCATTGAAATATTTTTGTTGGCATTCAAGGAATAGGTAACATATAAAATGTTGGCATTCAAGGAAGACACCGTCACAAGCACTTGTGTAAAAGCATTAATGAAACAGATTATATAAAAAATTATCACGCAAATATTCTTAGTGGGTTACATATAAACATATCTGTACTGTATTGATAGTTTTCCGAGTTCAAAACATAATATATAAGTTCCAATAACCGGCCTTCAATACTTCTAGGTTTTCTTTAATAAAAAGCCAATTGAACTTAGCACTTCTAAATTATCTGAATATGTATGCAAACACAATTGAAAGAAAATGCTATGATCAGAAAAACAGTACCTCCTTAGGTCAGCCTGTGACAATCAAAATTAAAAAACAAACAAAAGCTTAATGAAACATGATACAGGAAATCATGAAAAACCTCTGAAACTGAATGTCATTCTAATGATTTATAATAGACAATACACAGCATTGTCTTAATGAAAGATTAAATTGCTTCTAAAACAACACTTAACTTCTACAGTTTAGTTTAATCAAAGATTTTTTTGTATAACTTATGTTTTTCATTGTGCATGGGATTAAAATATAAACGTGTGCCAAAACTAAACTCTCAATGTAATATTGACACAGTTAAAAGAATAAAGAAGTTAGACATATTTAAAAAAGTTATAGCTTTTAAACTTTAACTTTAAAATTCATGTCTCTCATCATGGGCCCTTAAATGGAATAAAAATATTTTTATTTTTACTTTTATGTGAAACAAAGTTCACAATAATAAATTTCAGAAAAAAAATGGAATAAGGTGATAAATGTAATATACACATATCAATACACAATACAGGATAATTTATATGTCTTTCAATCTGCGTTATACAATAAAATTGATGCTGATTCCAAATTGTAACTAAAAAGATATAAAACATCTGTTCTAAGTTCGAATGTCATAAATTAATACAACTTCTATTGACAGACAAGATTATAAATTAAAATGATATTATTAATAAAAAAGTATAAAGTACAGTTATTATAAACAAGAAGATAACATATAAACAAATATAAAAATAAGTACATGTTATTAAAAAAAAAAACATGTGAGAGTCCAATCTAGTCCAGTCCACAGTCCAGTCCAGTCCAGTCCAAGAATCCAGTCCAGGTAATACACTTTGGTACTATACGACACACGTTCAAAGTATGAAAAGCTTTTGCACAACTCTGTCGATTATTTCAGATATTTCCAGATAACAAAAACCGTAAGAAACCAAGGAGACATTCAAAAGGGATAAGTCGAGATAAAACGATGACAACGCTTAGGCTAAAAAAAAAAAAAAAAAAAAAAAAAAAAAAACGAACGAAAAACGACGAAAAGACAAAACATGTTCACACTACACAACATAGCAAACTAAAAACTGAGCAACAAAAACCCCACCAAATGATTTGATGCATTAGTTTATAGAGTATTAGTAGTAACTTAATATCTATTCTTAACCTATTTTAAAATTAAGGTGACAAAATGAAACTATCATTCTTAGTTTATTTCAATCTCCAGCTAGAAAACGCTGCGTGCAACATTACCTCACATTATATTTTTGATAATAAGTTTTGTAGTTTTCATTTTTAAGTTATCCCAGCGGGGAATGCACAAACATGTTCTGAACATAAATGCATGATGATTAAGTTTATGGAACATTTGTTTTTTTACCAATGTAACTAAACACGTCCAGAACGGTGAAAACATATTACTGTGTCTATATCATAAGCACTTAACTAAGCAGATTATAATATTGTTTTCTTTTTTATTTGTGCTATCTTATTGAAAAGTTGATATGTTCTACTTAC